GAACCAAGTAGCTATCTAATTCTTTCTTCTCTGTTCTTTAAATTTGGAGTGCTTTAGTTAGAGCCTCTTTTGTTTTCTTGTACTCGTTGAATAAAATATTTAAATGTTCCTTATAATTTGAGGGCAAGAAAAGCCAAGGAGAATATACTCAGTTCTCATTGTTAGTTCTGATAATCGGACCTCAAGATGAACACTCACTACTGAGATTCTTGGATTTTTCATTTGCTTTCAGGCTTGATACAAGAGAGTTCATCCTGCTTTAATTTAAAAAAAATGTTTTATTTAATTTCCTATTTAAACATTTCACATTGGTAAGTCTCTTGTTTCCATTTATGGAAAAATCTATAAATTAAAATAGAAGAAAAAGAATCTCAGCTGAAGATGAGAAAATGCTGCCATTTAATATAATATGCACCAAGCAATATTTTATATCCCAAATTTAGAGAAAAACATCAGATATTAAGGGCAAGGATATAAGGTTCTATTTAAAACATTTCAATAACTTTGAAGAATAATTTGTGTACAGGTTTGTATGTAAACATACTTAGACTGAAATGAATCAGAAATATTTTAACACTTTTAACTTTATCTTCCAGATCTGTCATACATGAGATCAGAAATGGATAACCATACATCAGGGTTTCTTCTCTTGGAATTCTCAAAGATATGGAAAATAAAGATTATGTACTTAACTTTATTGCTGGTACTATATTTAATGACAATAATAGGAAATTTTCTTATCATTTATGTGATTTCTTTGGACGCCCACCTTCACACTCCCATGTATTTCTTCCTAATGAATTTAGCTCTGCAAGACGTTGGTTCTGTTTCAACCATCATTCCCAAAGCTGTTTTTAATTTAGTAATAAATAAAAGGTATATTTCCTATTCTGGATGTGTTGCTCAAGTCCTCTTGTTTGCTTTCTTTATGGGTTGTGATATTGCCCTTCTTACCGTCATGGCATATGATCGGTTTGTTGCCATTTGCCATCCTTTGCGATATGAAATGATAATGAACAGGAAGGCTTGCATCAAAATGATTGGCAGTGTGTGGATTGCTAGCTTTCTCAATGCTGCATTGAACACTATTGGCACTTTCACTAATCATTTCTGCTCTAATGAAATCAATCAGTTCTATTGCGAAATCCCACAGTTACTTAAATTTGCCTGCTCAGATAAATATGTAATTGAAATTGGATATATAATATTTAGTATGATATTAGTATTTGGTTGCTTTATCTTCATCACTGTTACTTATGGCACAGATCTTCTCTGTTGTTTCAAGAATCCCTTCTGTTCAGGGAAGGAAAAAGGCCTTCTCTACTTGTTTTCCCCACATCACTGTTTTCTCCATATTTTTGGTTGCCTCCTCATTTGCTTATCTGATTCCTCGACCTGACAAACCATCACACTTTGATTTCACTGTTACAATAACCTATTCCATTATTCCATCCATGTTGAACCCATTAATCTACAGCATGAGAAACAAGGACATCAAAGTTGCTCTTTCAAAAATGTTTTCTTTGAGGATATTTGGAAAGTAATATCCCAGAATTGGAATAAAAAAAAATAAAAAGAAATATTTAATTTAAACTTCACTCCCAAGTTTTTGCACTTTTATAATCTTACATGAGTAACCTTACTTTAGTTACTAATGAGAATGGAGTCCATCAAGATGTTTATATGTTACTTTTTATTGTTAGATGGAAAATATATCTATGGAAAAATACAAATAAAAGTGATATAGAGTATATAGTGCCTTCAAATGCAAATCATTTTTGAAAGCTTGTTTTTCTTTTTACAACTTCATGCATTTATCTAACATTTATAATACATGTTGCCAATCATGTAGTATAGGTAAGCAATTTATACCAAATACCCCTGTGTACTGTCGAATGTCCCTGTCAAGCCATGGATAGAGAAACAGTGCAAACTTAAGAAAACCAGAGTTATTTTAAAACCTTTAAAAGCTTCACAGGGGGTGTAGAAATGACTAAGTATATTCTAAATGACATTATATACACAATATGTATACATGCAGATATGAACTGAAAAATATATTTTAATTTAATTATAATGTTAATAACAAATTTAATTTGGGTTCACATTAATACTTTCAGAGTTTTGTAAAATCAGATGACTTCAATAAAGACTTATAAACATTTTATTGTCAAATATTTAATAGGAAGCTTACATCTGTTAGCATGCCAGGTGAGGAAGGAGAAGCTGCATAGAGTTTTTAATTAAATCAATATTCTGCCTCCAATTCCTGCACATCTAAGTTGTTAATCCATTTATACTGCTTATTTCCAGGAGAAATTGTCCTTCATATGAGTTAACCAAGGGGAAAGATGTGAACCTGGTTTAATTTTGTTTCTTAGCTACGAAGCTATTTTCAAACGATTGTATTTGAGTTATTGGTTCAGATCACCTTATTTTCCTAAATTATGAATAAGATACTGGAACGTTCTTCATTACATTAAAATGTTTTATCATATTTTTATTTAAAGATAAATAATTCTCAAAGAGAGACTTTACATAATTATAATGGTGGCAGAAAAGTAACTGTGACAAATCCTCACATTTATGACCTTCATGGGTCTGTAAAAAAAAGGAAAGCTCACAGAAGTGGTTTCACTTAATGAGTTTGCTTACCAATTGAATTGCCATTCCCAATTGTGTTCATTAAATAAGAACTACCAGTTTTTATGTAAGAGACAAAAAGTGAAAGCTAGGTAAAATATTATTTTGTATAAAATATTTTTGATTTTATTTTTATTTTCTGAAATTTGATGAGAACATAATGGGAAAATAAATGTTTCAGAACCACCTGAAAGTGAAACAGGTAAAACTATATTCAATGAAATCACTCAGAAGAGTGCAGCAGCTCAATAATCTTAATTTAGAAATGCTGGTTTTGCAGGAATATTCCTGTATCAAAATAGTAGGAAGAGGCAATTAGGTGAATATCTGTGTTTGATTGATTTTTATTTTTCCTTTATTACTGTAGTACATAATTTGTGCAGGGGTGAAAAGCTCCAGGTTTGGACCATTTTGCCTGATCTAGTAGCGATGGTGGCAGGTGGTTCAGAGAACCAGTAGCAAAAATCCCTGCAACCGTCCCCCCCCCCATGCCCAGCTGAGCCGCATGATCATTAGAGGCTTCTTTTTTTTTAACTTTTAAAAACATTTTTACTACAACCTCTTCAGCCAAAAAAATGCTTTTAAAAGTAAAAAAAAAAAAGCCTCTGATGATCTCATGAGGTTGTAGGAAAAAAAGTGCTTTTAAAAGCCTCTGGTGATCCCAGCTGAGTTGCCTGATCATCAGAGGCTTCTAAAAGCATTTTTTTTCTGCAACCTCTTCGGCCAAAGATGTTGTAGAAAAAAAATGCCTTTAAAAGCCTCTGGTGATCCCAGATGAGTTGCTTGATCTTCAGAGGCTTCTAAAAGCATTTTTTCCTGCAACCTCTTAAGGTTGGCCATGCCACACCAGTCACATTACCACCCCCCACCAAGCCATACCCACAGAACTGGTAGTAACAAATTTTAGATTTCACCCCAAACTTGTGCTCCATTGGTTCATAAAGTCTGAAATAACTTAACAGAGAAACAGAACACAATGGGAGCAGGCAAAAAAAGCACTGGGACCAGGAACACCTTTCAACTTCCTGCTGGCTCCACCACTGAGTTTCCTTGTGAGAAGCTGGCAGGAAGCATCAGAAATCTTCCTTCCTCCGTTCTTTCATTCAATCACTACCTTCCTCCCTTCCCGTTCTCTTTTCTTTCTAACAGGTAGGTAAGTATCTATTATGAGATGGGAGAGAAAGAAAGTGAGAGATTATGAGACTGGTTGGGAACTGTCAAGAGGTTGTTGAAAATAAAGATCACATGACCACAGGAATTTCCAACTCTTCAGAAGCCAGTAGCATTGAACTGAACACAAATTTCCCAAATTTCATTCTGTCAGGAATCATGGGTTCTGGATTTTGTAAATTAGCCTATTTGAAGTACCTTAAATAAATTTTAAAAAATGTCCTCTAATCTGCCCTTTCACTCAGTTACAGAATGGACTCACCCAAGAATTTTACTAGGGTATAAATAAGTAACTCAAGGCAGTGAAGATATCTAATATTCTTTCCTCCTCTTATTTTCTTTGAATTCCTAGAGGAAACACCTTTGCAAACTTAAAAAAAAAATCAAAGCTTTCCTATATAAGGGTTTTGAGAGGGAGGGCTCAGGGTAGCTGCCTACCAAGACCTGATCCTCTGTGTCAAGGATTTCAGAATAAACTTCACCTCAGATTCTATTTATTCCTTCCTGATTTATAAATAAATGGTAAGCTTCTTCTTATAGTACAAATAGTCATGTTAGAAGATTGGTTGTTTTGAAAATATGGAGACCATTAGAATAAACTAGAATAGAATGGAATGGAATGGAATGGAATGGAATAGAATAGAATAGAATAGAATAGAATAGAATAGAATAGAATAGAATAGAATAGAATAGAATAGAATAGAATAGAATAGAATAGAATAGAATTCTTTATTGGCCAAGTGTAACTGGACACAAAAGGAATTTGTCTTGGTGTATATGGTCTCACTGTACATAAAAGAAAAGATACATTCATCAAGAATCATAAGGTACAACACCTAATGATAGTCATAGGGTACAAATAAGCAATCAAATAATATTAGAATTACAGAATCTTCCTTTACAATTACATCATATTTCCTATTAAATGTTGAAAATATTTGTAATAAAGATATAACTAGCCTACAACTCAACTCTATTTCAAGACTACACCACTGAATATATTATGCATATTTCAGAAAGGCTCATTAGTTTCCTGAATTCTATACATATTCTGCGCATGTTCATTCTAAATTATTAGCATAATATGTTTATTTTAAAAAAGTAAAGCAAAGACTCAGTTTAATAATAATAATAATAATAATAATAAAAATCTCTGGAATGTTTTCTGACGATCAACGCAGGATTCCTGGGAGCTGAAGAAGTCTCTGTGATGTCAAAGAAGACCAGTTAATGTTTCCTATAGTTCAGAAAATCATTTAAATCCAGTAATGTAAATTAAGACCATCTTATACAATGCCATCTTCTAACTGAGGAATGAAAGATGAAAATGAAATCTAGTCAGAAGAATGTGATTGAAGACAGTAAGCAAATATCTCTTCTATTTTGCTCATCTAGAATTGTCATATTCTATTCTAATGTTTCTTTTTCCATCTTTTTCTTCAGATGTCCTTCCTAGGTTTTCTTTCTGCTTTCCTGAAAATTACAAAAGAGACAATCAACCCTCCTCTCTCCAAAAAACTATTTTTATAATGAATCACAAAAACTGTGTTTATGTAGAATGAGACCTTCATGTTACAGGATGATCTATGGAGTAAGAAAAAATATTATTGTTTGATCTTGCCATAATGTTCTATTAATTTGTTTTCCTTGCCCTTCCATAGGTTTTTTTTTCCAGATTGAATATCTCGTACCTTTTACAACTTGAATTTAATAAGTCTGAGTTACATTAATGAGTTAAATTAAATTAAGGGTTTCAAGAAAACATTGGACAACCATTTGTCTGAAATGGTATAGGAAATGGACTAGAAGACTACAAAGTCCTTTCCAACTCTTTTATTCTTTTAATGGAAGGTAAGTTCCACATTTCATCTCCTTTTCTTTAATAATTAAATTAAATTAAAATTGCTTCTCAAATTGGGCTGATGTAGTCAAATAAAATTGATAGTCAAATTAATTTCTGTATATCTACATTGTTTAAATATATGAATCCATTCAAAATGAAAAAAAATGATTTAACGAGAATGCTTTGATTTGATTTATCCCTGATCAATTCAATAGCAACATATTAAGTCAGATAAAATGTAAGAAATATATATGATTTTTTTAAAATAAATCTAGCAGTTTCATATCTGAAGCTGATCATCATCTCCATTCTGTTTCCAAGCTCTAAGTAGCTGCCAACTGACTGAACCTCTCTTCTCCCTTCTTTAAAGTACTTTATTTGGAGCCTCCTTTTTCTTTTTCTTTCCTTCTTTGCTAAGAAACTCTTGAACTCTTGAGAAGAAGAGTTTATTTTCCTTGTACATAAAAGCAAGAAAAGCCATGGAGGATATACACAGTTTGCCACCTTTAGCAGACTTAGTCTTGATGGTCAGACCTCAAGATGAACATCTCTGCCACCATGATTCTGGGAATTCAAGCTGAAATGCCTCCTATGCTTCCAGGCTTAATTTATTTTAATATTGAAAGTTTTTCCTGCTTTGATTTAAACATTTGTATGTTTCATTTTATATCCAAATTATGGCAGGAATGTAAGGTTGTATTTCAAAACTTGGATAACTTTGAAAGACATTTTGAAATGAATTGGAAATATTTTAATAGCTTCCACTTTACTTCCAGGACTGTCAGAAATGTGGCCAGAAATGGAAAACGACACAACTGTGTTTCTTCTCTTGGAATTCTCAAAGATATGGGAAATTAAGATTATGTATTCAACTTTCTTCCTGCTATTATATTTAATGACAATAACAGGAAACTTTTTGATCATCTCTGCAGTTGCTTTGGACTCCCACCTTTATACCCCCATGTACTTTTTCCTGATGAACTTAGCTCTGCAAGACATTGGTTCTGTTTCAGTCATCATTCCCAAAGCTGTTTTTAATTTACTGATGAATATCAGGTATATTTCCTATTCTGGATGTGTTGCTCAAGTCCTCTTCTTTGTTTTCTTTCTGGGTTGTGATATTCCCCTTCTTACTGTCATGGCATATGATCGGTTTGTTGCCATTTGCCATCCTTTGCGATATGAAATGATAATGAACAAAAGGGCCTGTACTAAAATGGTTGGCAGTGTGTGGATTGTCAGCTTCATTAATGCTGGGCTGCATACTATTGGAACTTTCACTAATAATTTCTGCTCTAATACAATCAATCAGTTCTATTGTGAAATCCCACAATTACTTAAGTTTGCCTGCTCAGATACATATGTAATTGAAATTGGATATATAATATTTATTATGATATTAGTATTTGGTTGCTTTATCTTCATCACTGTTACTTATGCACAGATCTTCTCTGTTGTTTCAAGAATCCCTTCTGTTCAGGGAAGGAAAAAGGCCTTCTCTACTTGTTTTCCCCACATCACTGTTTTCTCCATATTTTTGGTTGCCTCCTCATTTGCTTATCTGATTCCTCGACCTGACAAACCATCACACTTTGATTTCACTGTTACAATAACCTATTCCATTATTCCATCCATGTTGAACCCATTAATCTACAGCATGAGAAACAAGGACATCAAAGTTGCTCTTTCAAAAATGTTTTCTTTGAGGATATTTGGAAAGTGAGGTCCCAGAAATGGAATAAAAAAATTAAAAGAAATATTTAATTTAAACTTCATTCCCAAGGTTTTGCACTTTTATAATCTTACATGAGTAACCTTACTTTAGTTACTAATGAGAATGGAATCTGTCAAGATGTTTATATGTTACTTTTTATTGATTTACTTTAGATGGGAAATATATCTATGGAAAAATACAAATAAAAGTGATAGAGTATATAGAGCCTTCAAATGCAAATCATTTTTGAAAGCTTATTTTTCTTTTTACAACTTCATGCACTTATATAACATTTATAATACATGTTGTCAATCATCTAGCATTCATAGGTCAACAATTCCTTATATCAAATATCCCTGTATACCTGTCAAATGTCCATGTCAAGCCATGAATATAGAAACAGTACAAACTTAAGAAAAGCAGGGCTGTTTTAAAACCTGTAAAAGCTTCACAGGGGCTGTAAAAATGACTAAATGTATCATGATTGACATTCTTTCCTTTATATCTAAATGCTGTACATCACTACTTCCAAACTTAAGCTCTGTGTTGCACTGCTTCACATGCAAGCTTATTAACACTGACCTAATCATTGCTTCTGTGTAACAGAGTTTACTGCTGATACATATAAGGCAAATTCTCTTTTAATGGTGGTTTAGATAAACAGGCATTCACTAGATTGAGTGTTGGCAACCTGTGGCTTCAGAGCAATATGTGATTCTTTGGGCCCTCTGCTGTGGCTGCCTGCCCCATCGCTGGTTGGCTCCACCCCTTCTCCCTTTTATTTCTTTTTTTGGATATTTTTGCAAATCCGGGCTGGCTGAGGAACGATCACAGGCCACAGCAGAGGTTTCCCTTCGGGCGACCATTCTCCTCTTCCTCCTCCTCCTCCTCCTCCTCCTCCTCCTCCTCCTCCTCTCCTCCTCCTCTTCCTCCTCTTGTGACACTCTGGCTGGCTATGGCTGAGCCAGGAGCATGGGCACGCTCAGGGAGACCCTCAAGGAAGCACGAAAGTGCAGGAAAGGCACATGTGGGGTTGGTGGCCGCTTGCTTGAGGGGGGTCTCCCCATGGGTCTCCCGGTTCAGCCAGAGCTGGTCAGGGGATCATAAGAGGAGGAAGGGAAGGAGGGTCACCGGAAAGTGCAGGAACAAAGTAGCCCTCTACCTGCTTTCATGCCACATGTGCATGTAAGGCAGCTTTCACTTCCTGCCCCTTTGGGCTGGAGTTTGCACCCTCTGCACTCAGCAAAGACCTGCTGAGGGTGGGGGACACCATGGAAAGGCGATGGCCAGAGCCTTAGTTCAGGATAGAAGCTGTGTCCTGTTGTGTCCTGTTAAGACCCTTCTCAAATGAGCAGCCGCCCCCACCCCGCATGCACCTTTCCTGTACTTTGGTGCCCACTTGAGGAGGGTCTCTCTCTACATGTGTGCATGCTCCCAGCTCAGCCACAGCCGGCCAGGGGGTCATGAGAGGAGAAGGAGGGGGGAAGGAGGAGGAGGATGGTTGCCCAAAGGGAACCCTCCATTGCTGCTGGCAAATGTTTCTCAGACAGCCTGGAGTTCCAAAAAGAAGAAATAAAAGGTGTACTGAAGGATCCCAAGAAGAGTTTGCTGGCTTGACCGAGCTGCGGTTTTCCAAGAGAGGGGGAGAGAGAGAGAGAGAGAGAGAGAAAAGGGGGACAGACAGACAGACAGACAGACAGACAGACAGACAGACAGACAGACAGAATGATACACAGAGAGGGGCTGAGACAAAGAGACATAGAGAAACACACACAGAGTGATACAAGGGGTGAAAGAGAGAGACATAGAGACATACAGTGAGACACAGAAAGGGGGTGAGACAGAGAGAGACATAGAGAAACACACACAGTGATACACAGAGAGAGGGAGAGACAGGGGACTGGAGAGGGGGAGAGAGACACACACACGGGGGGAGAGGAGAGGAGGGAGAGTGGAAGATAGGAAGAGGGACAGAGGAAGACACACAGAGAGATACAGAAAGAGGAGGGAGAGAGGGGAGAGAGATAGAGGGGGAGACAGAGGGGGAGAGAGGGAGAGAGACATAGAGAGAGAATGGTTTTGTGGCTGGTAGGCATGACTAGGGGGTCATGTGACTAGGTGGGAATGAGTGACATCTAGTTGGCCATGCCTACCCAGATTTTGTGGCTTCCAGTGTGTGTGTGTGTTTTTCCTGTGGAAAATGGGTCCAAATGGCTCTTTGAGTGGTTAAGGTTGCAGATCCCTGGACTAGATAAACATCAGAGTGCGGGTCAGAATATATCCCTTTGTGAAGCTAAAATGGAAGTCCAAAAATTATTTGGAAGAAATTACTAGTCAATCTTAGCATGCCTATTTAATATTATCATGTTATGTAATGAAGACAGTGTCAGCTCCTGCGTGCCGGCTGGCCCGGAGCTGCAATTCATCAGAGAGCTGCCAGCCCAGCAACCACTCTGCAAGCCAGGATCCAGACAGAACTCGGGGAACCACCGCCCTGCCACCACACCAATTCTCATCTTCTCAGGTGGCAGCAGAACTGTCTGGGGAAGCTCACCATGCGGAGAGAAGGCCATGTGGCTGCCAAACAGCTAAGAAGCGGTCGTGCAGCAATGACATTGCCAGGAATGGTGCAGCAGAGCAGGTAGGCAGGTACTCTCCCTGGCCATCCTGGAATGTCCTGGATGACTGGCCACTCTATCGAGAACCAGTCCTCCTTTAAACATTGGAAAACCTCCTGTCCTCTTACAGTCAGTGGCAGAACCAACCCAACCATGGCAACAAATAGCCATGGACTTCATAGTTGATTTGCTGGAGAATCAGGGGAATACCATCATATGGCTGGTCATTGACCTGTTCTCGAAGCAGGCACATTTTCTTACCTGTTCCGGCCTACCATCTGCTAGGAAGTTGGCAAAGTTATTCATTGTGCACATCTATCGGCTCCATGGTATATTCTTATCCCAAAGAATAATCTCGGACAGGGGAGTACAGTTCACTGGCAAGTTCTGGTGGAAATTTCTAGAGAAAGTTGGGACCAGACAGGACCTTAGCTCCACCTTCCACCCAGTCACCAACAGGGCAGCTGAGAGAACCAACTCAATGGTGGAGAGGTACCTACATTGTTATGTGAACCATCAGCAAACAGATTGGGCTGACTTACTCCCTTTCACAGAGTTGGCATACAGCAGTGCAGTCCACAGCAATACTGGCTTCACCCTGTTCAGGGTGGCTACTGGAAGGCAGTTCGTGCCAATATCTGAGTGCCTCCAAACTACCATGTATGATCCAGGTGTAATTGAGTGGATGGCCTGAACATAACAGGTGTGAAATGCTGTCATGGAGGCTTTGTGGCACATAGCCCAAGGGTGATAAAAATCAGAGGCCTCAGGTCCCTTTCTATGTGGGTCAACAGGTATTCCTGTCCACCAAAAACCTAAACCTATGCCTACCAAGTAAGAAGCTAGGTCCTAAGTACATTGGGCCTTTCCTAGTGGTAAGGATAATCAACCAGTTTCAGTGCAGCTTCAGCTACCCTGTCTGCTGGGGAAGATAAACTCTGTCTTCCACTGTAGTCTCCTTCGTATGACCCATTCATCTCCCCTCAGGGAACCAATCCTTCTGCCACCCGTCTCCTCATGGTGAAGAGTGAGCAACACTATGAAGTAAAGAAGGTGCTGGATGCCCAGTGGCACAAGGGAAAGTTGCAGTACCTTCTTCTGTGGAAGGGATATCCCCTCTCTGAAGCCTCATGGGTACCCCAAAAAGATATACGAGCCCTCTGGCGTGTTGCTAAGTTTCACCAGAAACATCCAGGGAAGCTGGGGGGACTGCATTCCCACCATCCTCCACTCACCATGTTCTTTCCTTTACAGATGCTGTCTTTGTGATAGAGGGGGCCGCATGTTAGCTCCGGCATGCCAGCTAACCTGGAGCTACAATTTGTCAGACACCAGCCCAGCCCACAAGCTAGGATCCAGTCAGGACCCCAGGAGCCACCAGCCCTGTTGCCATGTCAATTCTCACCTTCCCAGGCAGCAGGGTTGCAGTGGAACATGCGGGGAGGCTCACCATGTGGAGAGAAGGCCGCATGGCTGCCAAACAGCTGAGAGGTGGTCACATGACAATGACATTGCCGAAGATGGCATGGCAGAGCAGAGAGGCAGCCACCACTCTCCCTGGCCATCCTAAAACATCCTGGATGGCAGGTCACTCCATTGAGGACCAGTCCTCCTTTAAAGACTTACTGGCAGTGGAGGAAGAGGAAAAGAAAGGCTGAACTTAAGGTGGATGCTAGCTTCTTCACATGTATTATCCCCTGCTTATTTCTCACATGGGTCATGTGGGAGGGAGCGGCGCGCATGAGTGGGTGGGTGGTGCTTATAGTTTAAAAGATGGTGGGGTGCACAGGCAAGTTGCCCTAACAAGATTTTCTTTTGAGAATGTCAATATGTGCCAGAAGAGGAGTAAAGCAAACAGTAACAAACCAGGTTTGTGTTTGGCTGTGTTCTTTTCTTTTTTTCTTTTCGTTTGGAACCTGACAGACAGTGGATAAAAATATTTCTGTTTTGTATGTATTTTCTGAACTATGGTTTTAATATTATTCATTATATCATTATATAACATTATATACACAATATGTATACATGCAGATATGAACTGAAAAGTATATTTTAATTTAATTATAATGTTAATAACAAATTTGGTTTGTGTTCACATTAATACTTTCAGAGTTTTGTAAAATCAGATGACTTCAATAAAGACTTATAAATATTTTATCGTCAAATATTTAATAGGAAGCTTAGATCTGTTAACAGTCAGCATGCCAGGTGTGGAAGGAGAAGCGGCATAGACTCTTTAATTAAACCAATATTCTGCCTCCAATTCCTGCACATCTAATGTTAATCCATTTATACTGCTTATTTCCAAGAGAAATTGTCGTTCGTATGAGTTAGCCATGGCGGAAAAGATGTAAACCTGTTTAATTTTGTTTCTTATCTATGAAGCTATTTTCAAATGATTGTATTTGAGTTATTGGTTCATTTATTTTCCTAAATTATGAATAAGATACTGGAAAGTTCTTCATTATATTAAAATGCTTTATCATATTTTTA